CGGGAAGATAAAAATCAATCCTTTCAACTGATCTCATAATAAGAGTAACACTGAAAAATCTATATATACATAACACTTACCATTGTTTATTTCCATATGTATCATACACCAAACTAGAACAATTATGAACACAACAACTATCTGAAAATTGTGATTTTGCATTTATTGCACTTTCTTACTCGACCGACTGCGTAAATCAAACTGATATTATCAGCAGTTATTCCGCATTGATATCATTGGTAAATCATTGGTGTTGCGTAATTGTTAATAAATGTCACTTGACTTTGATGTACGAAAATATATTTACCGAAGTAAATAAATTAACACACAGTTGGTGAGCCTATAAATATAATTCTTTTTCTTTTTTTTATTCTCATATCTATGAGCCTATGAGCTGTTGGGCTGAAACTTCTCCTCACTTCGAATTTAGATGGTAACCCAATGATTAATTCATCCATATTATATTATTTTATTATAAGAATTTATCAAAATGGATAATTTTATTATTAGAATTTATCAAATAGGGCTGACTTTTTATTGGTGCAGCAATGCCGGCCAAGAGCTATTTTCACTTACAATTAGAAACATAGTGATATCTATATTTCAAAGTGAAACTCGTTGTCACTGCCACCTGACAACAGATGTTTGACAAACAGACTTATTTGAATTTGAATATTTTACTTAACACTTTGCCGTCCGCACGTCTTGTAAAAATTTATTCGCTTGGCGCCGGTAGTGCTAATTTGTTATCACTTTGCTTGTCCCCGCCCATTCTGGATATTATCGAAAAATTACAAATTTTTAGGTCTTACTAAAGTTGACGGGTGTAACATTTTGTTATCTAAATTAAAACACCAACAGGATGGAAAGATTTCTGCCACTGGCCAAAGGACGATACTGTGCTCATGACACCACTGTGGTGTCGCCGGCTGTTGAGCGCTAGTTCGCGCCCGACACCACTGTGGTGTCGCCGGACGGCATAGTGTTAATAATACAATATACAATATGTAGCAAAAATCACAACGTTTGAACGAAATTGATGCGATAATTTAAGAATGACCTAAAATTCTTAAATCATCGTAAAATAAAGGAAAAAGATTTTTTTACCATTATTTTTTACCATTATTTATCAACGTTATAAGAGTACGGGAAAAATTAAACACACAAATAAACAAAAGTTAATAACTTGCGCGCCATTTTAATATCTATTGGGTCCGCCAAATAACTTTTTTTTTTGAAAATGCTATAAAAAAAACTACTGAATATTTTCTCAAATTTCTTTTTTTATTTGAAAATAATTTCATTGAAATGGCTGCCTCGGCTGGCCATGCAGTAGCCTACACGATCGGTCCAATTTTTAAGTACATTATCGATTGTGTGCAGCTGTATTTCACCAATGGCTTCACGAATATTGTCCTTTAAAGCGTCAATTGTCTCTGGCTTGTCGGCGTAACACTTATCTTTGACGGCACCCCACAAATAATAGTCCAACGGTGTCAAATCACAGCTCCGAGGTGGCCAAACGACATCAGTTCTGCGGCTGATAATGCGATCTTTAAAAACAGGGCGCAAAACATCGAGTGTAGCTTCGGCTGTGTGGCACGTAGCGCCGTCCTGTTGAAACCAAATGTTGCCAATATCCTCCTCTTCAATTTTTATGAACAAAAATTCGTTCAACATGGCCCGATAACGATTACCTTTGACTGTAACGACCACTCCTTGCTCATTATCGAAGAAAAATGGCCCAATTATGCCTCTGGACCAAAATCTGCACCAAACAGTGACTCGTTTTGGGTGCATCGGCTTTCCAATGTATGCGTGCGGGTTTTCTGTGCCCCAAATGCGACAATTTTGCTTGTTTACATACCCGCCAAGATCAAAATGAGCTTCATCTAAAAAGATGATTTTTTATGCATGCATTTATGCAATATTTCCCAGCGTTGTTCAAGCGTATACACAACCATATTCGTTCAGCGGAAGGATAAAACTAATTATCTGTCAAATCAGACATGAGCTAAGTGTTACCATTTACGAAATAAGCACTAGTTGAAAAAAAACTTTAGAAGGCGGACCCTGAATTTACTTTATAGAATACCCCCTTAAGTAAATAGATATTAAAATGGCGTGCAAATACACCCCGCACATTTTTTTGACTCCGCTGACTCTAAAGTTGTCATAGGCTCCATATCGGGAATCACTACCCCAATTTTCATTTAAATCGTCAACAAAAATTTCTTTTAACAATTATTTAATAAAGATTTAAAAATCCTGAAATCTGAGCAGCAATTTTTGAGAAAACTTCAATGAGATCAAATTTTGACTCATATAGTTAGTAATAACATTCATGCGCATGTACCTTTTTCCAATAAGCTTTCGAACTATTCAGAACGACTTGAAACGTCAAAAAAATACAAAATTAGCTCATGGTATTTAACGAAAACAACTTCTTCGAGAAGTTAATAAAATAGAATGAGTGCATCAAATAATTATAAGATCACAAATTTTATTTCATCACAGGTTTAAATAATTGTGGAAAAAAGCACATGAAGAATATTAAAACCTTTTAATTAACTCTAACATTTTTCAAAACATTAATTATATTATTATTCAATTATATTATAATTCAATTTCAAAACAAGGTTAAATTCATTAATCTTTAGAAAATAATCTTTCTGCATATGTGCCTATATCGCATAGTTACTATAAATTTTATATCAACAATTTATAAAAACTTTTTAAGTTTAGTTTACTTTATATTTTGTGAACTCTAATAAAACTTATATATTTTTTCATTATTAATTCATAGAACTGCTTGGTTCAATTACCTTCATGCTCCATTTTTATTATAATTTATTTTTTAAAGTACCATCTAAAATGGAGAGCAATAATCTGTATGTGTCACTACTAGTATTTCATATGCATCAAAAGTTAAACCGTAATTGTAAAGATTGGACTTTAACACAAGTTTTATCTTGGAGAGCCATACAAACATACATGGTTGCAAATAGACTATTATTATATAGAGACATCATCACCTCTCTGTCATTTAGCAGATTTCAAAATTATATTAAATAATTTATTTAATATTGCAATTAATTACTTATGTTTAAGTTTTGTAAGTTAATAAAACGCAGATTCATACTTTGATATTATATACAACAATTCACAACAACTAAATTTATAAAAATATACAAATCGACTTTAGATGAAGTTATATTAATTAATATAATTAGAAATATATCTATTACACCCAAATCTAGTTATAATTAAATAACATGCTTACCTATTATGTATTAATTATAAAGAAAAAATAATCCCATTTTATATATATAATACTTACATCTAAATACAAACATAGGTACATGATTTTAAAAACTTTCATTCACCTTAAAATGGTGCTATGCATAATTTAAAATAACCTGAGGTTCCCATAATAACAATAAGATAACATTAAGTACTATAATTCAAAGTTGTCATTCATATTCAGCATGTTTTCTAATAGGAAATCAAAGCACTCACTTAGCTTAAAAAGCGGCAGTCGGCTTTTGCATATTTTATTGCTTTATAATATTATTAATGAATCTATAACAAATTACTATGTATATAATTATTTTAGGGTAATTTTATACAAAAGCCAGAACTCTTTGGTTTTACAATTAAGTCAAATTACAACATATAAACTATAAAATACAAATATTTCTCAGTTTTTGAATGACTTAAAACAGATAATTTAGAAGATGCATCATACTGCTGTCTGAAAAAATAACACTTATAACGAATGGTAAATGATTCTATAATACAAACAATAAATATTAACAAATAAAAAAAAACACTTTGGCATTATCATTTTTATAATTTGTATAAACATTTTTAATCGGATGAATCAAAATAGTGTTTGAGCAATATTATGCATTAAAAATGTTATATTAATTGCAAAACTAAGATAAGTTTTATTTTCAGTGCAATTTCATTTATAGAAATTTTGTATTGTATTACATATTTTAAATCAATACTAAAAAGATGTATATCACACAATAAATTGGAGCGCATGACCATGAATTTGCTACTTTGTAAGATGCTTATGTTTCTGCTAATTTATGCACCCTAAGACTTCAGTTATATTCTTTTTGCAAACTTTAAACTTTTTTATATAAATTATTATAAAAGCTGATTTATTATTTAAATGTGCGTTATTATGACAAACAGAATACATATCACTAATTTATCACAATATATTCCTTTCCTTTTTGTTAAAGTCATATAACTGAAAGAAAAATGCAGATAATCTGTCTACTAAATTTCATAGTGTTATAAATGATTTAGTACATGAATTTTTAAAGATATAACAGATGAAATAAATTATTCATGTTGCAACCCACTTTCTATTATCATTTTGGTAAAAATGATTATATAATCAAAATCAGATTATGTGAGCATTCATCACTGAGTACATAAATGGCACATATTCCAAGCAATATGAACATGCAACATGGATCCTTTTGAATTAAAAAAAACTGCGCAGTTTTTTTTCAGCCGCAACTTCAAATGATGCAAATTTAAGATATTTTTCTGTACACATTCACAACACAACAGAACACACTTCCGAATATTCACACATAACACAAAGCTATATACAGGAATGATGATCGGTGATACAAAATATTAATTTTATAATAACATCAGAATGACTTGCATTTTGAGACGCTTTGAGATAGTCACTATCAAAAATTCTAAAATCTACATCATTACTGCATCAATAAATATTTTCTTAAATAATTTTTGACTACTTGAAGACTGATAAATTACAAAATGTAAGTAAAGAAGTGGAACATACATTAACACTTAACGGACAGACCCTGTAGATTTACGTTTGTACATTTACATGAATGTGAATGCTAATATGCCTAAAAAATACTAAAAGTTTTGATAAATATGATTATAAAATATTAAATAAATCAATATAATTGATTAAATAAAGTTTTATTGCAGATACTATCCTTTGAATCATGTTCTATAATAATATAATCTAATTTTCTGAATAATTTAAGGAAACTAGGAGCAAACATACCAAATTTGCGCTGTCCGTTAAGTGTTAAAATATAGTACATGTATAATGTGCAACCAGGGCTACTTCAAAATGCTGGTTATTTCTGTACACCAATCAAGTATTTAGATAAATAAACATAATACACCATTGTCTATATGATTTTTTTTTCTTTTCTAACAATTTATTTAGCAGCATGGGCATTATGGCAAGAACGTATATGCTGCAAGCGTAATATTATTGAGTATAATTTTCAGAACCAAGTAAGGATAATGTTATAAATTTGATTTATATAAATTTGTCATTGAAGAACATACATTTATAATAATATCTAAATTTATTTTTGACCATTTTCCACTGTATATTAAAGTTTAAAGCAATTTCCAAAAGGCATAGCAGGTTGATTCCAGTGCCGTTGTATTTACTTAGCGTCATAGTTTTTTTTATCATTACGCAGATAAAGAGCAATTTTTTTATGTCTCGTTATTTTTGAAGAAAATTTTGATTTACAAATTGCTGGATTGTTTTGCAATATTGAGAAGAAAAAAGATTATATTAAAATTAGTAAATTTTTAAATAGTGATCAATTCTATTCGATGCTTCAATAAGAACTAAGCCATTGTCTATACAAACCCCCTGAGCCATGTCCCCTTAAAAGAGACAACCCAGTGATATGCTAGATATGCGTTGTCCGTCCCTTCGAAGGGGCAGCAAGATGTAAATGGTCAAAACAAAATATATTTCTATTTATCAATGTGCGGCTGTGACGGAGCCGATGATTTTTTTCCTGATTTTTGTTTTTAAATCTCATATCAGCATATTTGAAAAACCAATGTCTGCTATTCGCAAATTAATGTAGGGTATCGTAGCAAAATATGCCTTTTGTTAATAAAGAGTAACTACTTTACAACAACTGTGATTGAGATATAGAAATGGTAGCATAATACAAAACGTCTCAAAAGCATTTTTTGATCACTCCCTGGCCCTAGAGTTGGGCACAACGACCCAGCCGTCATTGTTGTGCGCCCGATGGCTATTCGGATCGTTTGGCGCATTTAAAGTATTCGCTTGCATCACTTCCAGTTGCTTTCGTAGATTCGAATACAATTTTACAAGAGACTCTTTCTCGTCTTCAAGTTTCAATATCTCTTGCTGCTGTCGGCGTTGCTCGTCGTTCAGCGATTCTCGTAATTCGGACCGATGTCTCGAAACGTAAGCGATTTCAGTCTGAACCTAAAAAATCATCGAATTATATTAATGACAAATATTTAGCTCATCGGTTTACAAGCAAGCAATGAAAACATATGGAATAAGTGTGACTTTTAGTTGTTCATAGAATTAGGTCATTCGGAAATTCATTTCATTTTTCGCGACAGATGTATTTCTTGTTTCTTGTAATTGTTCTTTGCTGGATTTTCTGGGTTGAATTCTGAACAGGCCCAGTAACAAGGCGAAATAGGTTAAAGTGAAAATTCTCAAATAAAATAATTATGTGAGTGTTATAATAAGTGACAACAAATTGTTGCACCAAAAGCAACTAAACTTACCATTGAACATAATGATTAAGGTAAATGTACCATATTACGGGATGTTAAGAAACGTTTGACTTTAAAGATGATTTGTGAAAAAAGTAGGAAAGTGAACGAGCTAAAACTGTTCTATTTTATAAATTAGACTTATAAGATCACTACAGAACAAAATTTTGCGGCGTAGAATTTTATTTATAGAAATAATCGGCATTTTGCTGAATCACGAGTTTGTCCCTAATTCCGGGATAAAATTCGACTCGTGACAAAGCCGGGAGTCGTAAGTTGAAAAACTTCCAAAACGAAAATAAAATAAGAGCCGGTATTATTATAGCAACAGTCATTATCAATACTTTATTTAATTAACAATACAAATGTATAATTGGAGCAAGCGTTCTTTGAAAAACTGAAAATCGAAAATTATGCGCATCGGTATTTACTGATATTGATTATAATTTTAATAGTTTATATTAAACTGTATTATACTATGAGAAAGCTACTGCATTCAAGAGTAGCATTGACAACGTAGTTTCGAGTAATTGCAGTTCATATTAATTTAATAACTTACGTTGTATCTTCGTTTTTTTAATATGTAGGTTATATAATGGTTTTATTCCAAAAGATTACTGCCTTAATCGAATCCAAACTACCGTTTACAGGGATGTCCCTAGATCTCTACATATATACGTACATACCAGCGTGAACCTAATTACGAGAGTCATGAAATTGACAATTTCTTGACAAATATATGCTCGATTTAACTATAAAAGTAATCACTTATTAATATTAATAAATAATTTCACAAAATTAAATAGATTAAGCTTATCGGCATTGAATAAAAACCTTGAGCAATGGAACCGTCACATTAACTTAACTAGCTAACAAGCCCATACAGAATGGCGATCGGGTCACGACCGATGCCTCAGAAGCTTTAAAAACTAAAATTTAAATTCGAAAATCGTGCTATTTTGTTAGGATTCAAATTATAATTGATGTGCCATTGTATAAAATTATTTTTCACCGACCGTGAACAGGAATAATGTACCATCCCGAAATAGTGCACGTTTACCTTAATTAGATAATTCCAACTAACTCTGCAATCAAACATATTCCTGACTAGTTTTGAATACTTTTATTACTTTTGCTGACAAATACACCAAAGTACAATTATTCCATTTTTGTAAATTGCCTTGTTAATTTATATTATTAAAAATAATTTTTGGAACTCACATTTCGAATCAGATGTTACTTGTTGATTGATGAATTTGGTGCAATAAACGGGTTCAAAATTCATTCTAACATAGTTGTTACTAATCTATAAAGAATGTTAGAAATGTTAGCATTAGCATGCAAAGCATTAGTACAGATATCTACAGTCCATCGCGAATAGCGCCGAAAATATAATGAAAGTTTCATGTTAAATACATCAAATACTTCGTAAAATTATAAATATTGCTTTTACAGTGATGTCTATATATTTTTTGTAAATTATTTTTACAAAGCATCAGAAATTACTTTTATAAAAATTGAAGCTTATTCAGAAGAGCAGATTATTATAACTAATTTGTTTACTTTCTTCGAAATGATAACATCCACCACTACGACTAAAACTAAACAGAATTAATAAAGATACTAAACAGAATAAAAATTGAGAATGATATGATGTTTAGTAAAAAAATTGAATATATTATCAATAACGTAACATTTTAATAATATGATATATTTTACTAATTGTTATATTGTTATTGGAGCAACTCAAAACTTTAATTAAATTTGGCTTCAAATATTTCCTATTATAAAAAAGACAGACTAATTGAAGCACGTACCTTACAAAAGATTGAGATTTTCACTGTTTTTAAATATGAATAACATTTCAATATAAATAAATCAAGCTTGTTTTTATGGTACTGTAAAATTAACTCGATATGACTTCAACAAATAAATTCACATCAAATAAAAAATTTGAACAGTTTGTTTCCTGTTTGACCTTATAGCCCGGTCAATTTACGCATTCAAAGATACAATAATTCATAATGTGCTGTAACTTGGCAAAATTGTTTAAAATGCAATTATAAAAGAAATCTCAAAAGTCCTTATCGTTCCGATGCGAGCTAAAAACAAAAAATGCATCATTATTTTTTCTTGCTCAGAGCCACCGTTTTAAAGACGTATCAATTTGATAAGTACGTTTAACGCCACCTATGTGGTAGTGTGCTTAGCGCGTTTTTTTACGTGGTTTCTCCAGTAGGCCTATTTCACGGATCTATGATTTTTTTTATTAAGGAACTATTGCAAAATAATATTTGTTGATTTGGGTTGGTAAATCTTTTCGGAACGATGAGAACTTTTGAAATTTCTTTTATAATTGTATTTTAAACAATTTTGCCAAGTAACAGCCCATCATGAATTATTGTACCCTTCATCCTGTTTTTAGGTTTAAATTGACCGGGCTATTATGTGCGCCCATCATATTTATTTTAGTAAGTTAGGATTGTTTCTACAATGATATATAAGTTACCATTTTTCTATAAAAAACTAAATTATATGTTATTTAATGTTAGATGAGAAAGCTAAATAAACGATTATGATATTGTATTTTCAGATTTAAACTTCAAACTTCAGGAACAATAAAAAAGTACTTCTACCTTAGTGTCAGTCTGACACTATTAGATATAATATTTAATAGTATTTACCGCGGCTAGCTTAAGAGTAAATAAATGAATAAATAGTGAACATGAATAGAAATATTTGGAAAATATAAATATTTCCATCCATCCATAAATATTGGAAAATATTTATGCAACCCGTGAGCAAATTATTAGCACTAAAATTATTCTGCACAAGCTCATTTTAACCATAAGAGCATGATTTTCCCGCCATATGAATAAGCAATGAGACAGCATAAGAGAAATCGCCAGAATGTGAATCAATTATAAAAGTAAACTAACCTTGAGATATTCTTGAACTATTTGTTTGTGTTCGTGGTGAATTTTCATAGAAAGCCTACTTGTCTGATCTGGTGTGGCAGGTCTCAAATGCGGTTCCAACGTAAGACACATGGAATCCAGATCAGAATCCGCATCGTCCATGCATGATCCGTCTATCTCGGAAGCATTCTGGTCACCTCCACCGCCGCCAGTGTTTCCTATTATTGAAAAACTGATTATTATTGAGCATTATAGATCTTTTCAAGCACCATTTAAATGAAATGAAGTATTTTTTTAAATAATCCATTGACTTGGTCGCTTTTATTTGATGATAGAACAAGGCAGGTCTCGAATAAGACAATCTAGAATTTATGAGACCAATAACACAAACAATTCACAAAATATTAATGTAACATACTCATACGTTCACAAATTATATAAATATATGGTTTCATGTACCATATTCTTATCTAAATAAATATAATTCGGTTATAAATATAGCATTTTACAGAATATTCGCAATGAAAAGATTAAAATTGTTTTCGAATGACTGAAGGATATCGAGTCGATTATTATTAAGTGAAGTGGCAGTCAAACCGAGATGTAAGATTAATTACAAGTGTCTTGTGTAAAATATTGGAATAGTGCCAGAACGAACATGACATGCATTGATAGTAATATTCAATAAGTCACGTTTTTCTGAACAAGAATATACGATAAATAATGCTGCTGAATGCACAGTAAACTAGTGGGGTGCCGAGTGCATGGCATCGTGCCTTAAGGCAAACTGCTGGAACTTCCCATACCGTAATCTTGGTACGGAACCCAAAAAAATTACACAAAATGTGTACACATTATTAAAATCTCTATAAAATACCTGATAATTCGATGTACATATGTCCAATAAACATTTTTGACCGCCAAATGACATTTTTTTAACTTATTTTTATTGAGAGTTCTTCATCTTGTCAATACAAGTAAAATGTTTTTTGAATTATCAAAATCGGACGCTCCATTCTCTTAAAATCTGAGTTACCGTTTTTGGCACTTTTTGCCCCGTATCTTCGGAACGGATAGACCTGTCTTCGCCAAAAAACTAATCAGCACGTCTCCTTATCAATACAAATCAAATGTTTTTTGAATTATTCAAATCAGTTGATTGGTGTTCCCGAAATCGTCCACGAAATTTTGTATCCGCACGCACACAGACACATACATCCATTTTTTCTAAGGTATGCCAAAATGTTTAAAAACCTTTGAAACGTAAAGATATATAAAAATTTTCAGTTTAGATTTTTTTGTGATTACTATAACTTACCCTACGGGAAGTTAATAACCTATTTAAAATTTAACAAATATTGTACTGATTTTTTATTAAAACTATATTATTTCCGAAAACGAATTATCAGAATGTTCTGAACAGAAAATAGCCAAGTAATTTGCATCCGGGATAAAGTAAATATATCTGATCTCTAATAGACGTCACACTCATAACCAAAAATTTGGAATATAAGTAATATTTTTCTATAAGTTTTATTTATTTTACAACAATAATGTTACATTTGTTTAAAAATAATTATTAATTATAAATTGTTTTAATTTATAAAACATTGTTGTAAAAAATTATATATTTGAAAAACTAAAATTGAAGTGTGAACGTTTAAAAATTGAAATTTTCAAGTTGTTCTGTCCCCATAGGCACATATAGACCAACCTTATAATAAGCTTTACCTAATTACCCTATGATATAATTTCAATTACGAAAGAGACCAATTTCTGTTTTTTTTTTGACTATATAAAAAACAACTTTAATTTCGGCATTTACCCCGAATCATTTGAACTTGAAAGAAGTATAAACATATAGTATGAGCCAAATGTGTTTTCTATATGTATCAGAACGCAAGATTCGCTTTTTTTGTTAACGTTTTCTCGAAAACGGTTGCTTTGAAAAATTAACAAGTGGTGCAAGGCATAGTGCCTTAAGGCTTAAAAATTAAGCTGTAAAATTTTCTGAAAATTTTGAAAAAATTAAATTTTGAAATTTTTTGATTTTTTTTAAATAGACTGTTTTTGAATATTTTTACATTTTGAATTATTTTTTTATTGAATCTCCGACACCGCTAGACCTGCCTTTCCAAAAATTTTATCATTTCTTTATTTTGCCAATACAAATAAATTATTTTTTAAATCATTTAAATCGAACGCCCTGTTCTCTCAAAAACTGAGTTAGCATTTTTGGCCCTTTTAGCCCCGTATCTTTAAAACTGGTTGACCTGCCTTGGCTAAAAACTAATCAGCGTCTCGTCAACTGTAGGAATCGAATGTTTTTTGAATCATTCAAATCGGTTGACCCGTGTTCTCGAAATCGTCGACGAAAAATTGTATCCGTACACACACATACACACATACGTGATGGGGAGGGAGGCGTGCTGATTAGGGGCCGCTCAAGTATTACGTAAGCACTATAGGGGGGCGGCTGTTCCAAAAATACGGGGCAAAAAGTGCAAAAACATGGCAATACAGTTAGTGAGAGAAGGAAGCGTCCGATTTGAGTGATTCCATAAAACATTTCACTTGTATTCACGGAATGAAAAATTGACTTAATTGTTCCAGCGGACCGAAGAAAAAATAAAAAAACGTTTAAAAAATATTATTTGGCAATCAAAAATGATCATATGCACATAAAATTATAAGATATTTTATAGAGATTTTAAAAATAAGTACAATTTTTTGTTTACATTTCTATGGATTACGAACTAAGATTTAAAATCTTTAACCCATACGGAAAGTTACAGTATTTAACTTAAATTAAATCATCAAATATGGATGGATTAACCATTGGGTTACCATCTAAAAAAATACGAAGTAAGGAGAAGTTTCAGCCCAACAGCTCATAGGACGTAAGATTTTGATTGCTGTTCGAAAAAAAAAAAAAAAAAATATGTGTGTTGCGGCGTACTGTGGTTTCCTTATAATAATGCCAGCAGCACCCAATGGGTCCTTGGTTGCAAAACAACGGAGCACATTACACTGATTCGTTTTGAATTCGAGGTTTCGATTGAAGCGGAAAGATTTACGTCGCTTTGGCGCATCTTTCTGGCCTCGTGCGCATAAACACATGTGACGAAAACTAGTCACGGTCAGCACTGTCCTTCGAAACAATCTTATCAAAGTGCATTCATTTTGATAGCACCTTACTGAATACTCTTATAGAACTCGCATATTATTATTATTGATTACGGCTTGCTTATGAATAAATAAATAAATAAATAAATATGTTAAATGTAATTGAAACTAGCTGTAAGTGGAATTCTGTCTTAAGGCAATTAGGGCATCGTGCCTTAAGGCAAATTGCTGGAACTTCCCGTACCAAAAATATATCTAACGCATAAGCATTGGTACGGAACCGATAGGAATGTTAACAAAATGTATACTTATTGTTAAAATCTCTATAAAATGTCTGATAATTTGATGTGCATATGTCTAATGATCATTTTTGACCGCCAAATGGCTCATTTTTTTACTTTTTTCTCTATATCTCCGAAACCGCTGGACCTACCTTCATGAAAGTTGTATCGATTCTTCATCTTGTCAATACAAATAAAATGTTTTTTGAATTATTAAAATCGGACGCTCCGTTCTCTTAAAAACAGAGTTACCGTTTTCGGAACTTTTTGCCCCGTATCTTCGGAACGGCTTGACCTGCCTTTGCCAAAAACTAATCAGCACGTCTCCTTATCAATACGGATCGAATGTTTTTTGAATTATTCAAATCGGTTGATCCGTGTTCCCGAAATCGTCGACGAAAATTTGTATCCGCGCAACATACACACACATACATACATACATACACACACACATACACACACACACACACACACACATACATCCATTTTTTCTAAGATATGCCAAAATGTTCAGAAACCTCTGAAACGTAAAGATATATAAAAATTTTCATTTTCGATTTTTTTGCGATTACTATAACTTGCCCTACGGGAAGTTAATAATTGAAATTGACTTATGGCAACTACGCCCCATTCAAATAAAAACGTACGAAATCATTATTAAAAAATGCATAGATTTAACGTTAAAGAAAGAGCATTGCAACAACATTCAACATGAATGTTAAATAATTTTTTTTTGAAGTAAAACTTCTTTAGGCGCTACTACGGAGAACCCAACGAAAATGTAATGGTAATGCGTTACGCGACAAATACTGATTCGTCATTGGCCATCGATGTGGTCATTCGAAACCAGCTGATATGGTTGGTCGAGAACGTCTTGTTACTTGATATCTTTCATACTCTACTTGTGACCATGTGGATTACAAAACGTAAAATGTCAAGCAACAATGTTTGAGGTTATGTCGTCGAAATCTATATTTAATAAAAATCATTACTATAATACATCGTCACTCGTAAATAATTATAATAACAAACAAATCAAATTAGATGTTTGAAATTAAATGGCGTGCTGTTTAAGAAACGTAAGGTTGTATTTTATTATTCATAGTTGCTATATAATTTCAAAGTAAGTACAATCAAAACTATTTTTATAGACAAGACAGATTCAGTAGTATTTATTGCTACATATACGTAGTTATTCAGCTGATCAAGAAACTTATGTACGTCAGCATAATTCCATAAAAAATGAATTATTGATACAGGTTGTTATGACAACTAATGTTGATGTAAGTGATGATTTACAGTTCATGCAGTATTGGTCTGGTTCTTTGCTATCTGCTCGGACACTAACAATACTCTAATTTCAAGGTAATATCTTTGACAAGATATTATAATGCATTCAATAAAACTCATAATCAACAGCATTTATAAATTGCATTATTTTTAGTTACCAGTATCAATAGATTGTTTATTATTTTTGGAAACAATGACAAGAAATGGAATGATAATAATAATTCGAAAACCCCACAAGAATAATTTTTGATGATATTTCACTGTTGATGTTCAACAGTCAAAGCACACAAGCTCATTTCCCTGATTTTCATCATTTATATATATATATATATATATATATATATATGTGTGTGTGTGTGCATATATACTAGCTAACCCGACAAACTTTGTTTTGCTAAGCAAGGTATGTTCTAAACAATTTCTAGAGAATTAAAAATATTAATACTTTAAGTACAATGAAGTATTATAAAAACAATATACGAGGTCTGTTCAAAAAGTACCCGGAATTTTCGTTTTTTCAA